ACCGTGGAGATGATGAATCTGTCTTAAGGATATAGTGTTAAACACTGGACTTGATTAAAAATTTGTTCAAGAAATTAATTTGGTAAGTAATTAATTTACTTTATGTTTTATTATTTTTTTTGTTTCAGATTTTGATTTTGTTTTTGTAACAAAATAAAAACCTGTTTTATTTATTTATTTTATATTCTGGTTTGATTTTTGTAATCAAACAATTTCTCTCATTTCCTTTACTTCTTCTGTATCCCGTTTGTTGTTAAGTACACAAACATAATTTATTTTTAAATACAGTGAAGATTGTCCAACAGTCTTTTCCCTGATTCTGACACCCATTCACCTTTAAATAACACAACCCTCTTCCCAAACAAATAATCTAACTCAATTATATCTGTTAACACATGTTAAAATGTAACATCTTCAAAACAATATACAACAAATGATAGGTTTCTCTCTCTGCCGGCTGATTTAACACTCAGCTCGGACACGTGGCAACGGCTGGTTGGTTCTCCTCAAAAAGGTGATAGATTGACAAGACAAGGCTATGACAAAGCGTATCTAACAAGATTCACGGCAAGGCACTCCGGCAAGTAATGATCTCGGCTAAGGGCAAGACTTCGGCAAAAATAATATCGGCTTGGAAGGACAACACTTGACTAAGCTGTGCCACACCTTGGCCTAGATGTGCCACACCTCGGCCTAGGTCGTACCATTCCAGCAACAAGGTCTCTAGGTATAAGGATAAACATCTCGGCCTAGATAATACACATCTCGGCCTTGGTGCTGTACACCTCGGCCTAGATAGGGACATCTCGGCCAATATGCCAGGGTGAAAAAGGAGGTCAATCAGAGTGGTTCCAAGTGTAAAAGGGTTCAAAGGTGACTAGGCTTAGGATGATCTCGGTAACACACCAAACAAGAACAAAGCATGCAAGCAACATTCAAGCAAAACAAGACAAGATTACACATAAATGTATGCAAGTATGACTAGTGTAAGGTGAGGGTGGCTACATCCCACCCTCCTTAAAGAAGTTTGGTCCCCAAACTTAAATTAGCATGCTCCATAAATAACTCCGAATAACGTATTTTCATCTCTTCTTCCATTTCCCAAGTAGCATCCTTGCCGTAATGCTCTTTCCATTCAATTTTCACCATTGGTATAGATTTGCTCCTCAACTGTTTCACTTGTCTGCCAATAATTCTCGTCGGCTTCTCCTCATAGCCTAAATCTTCATTAACCACAACCCCGGAATAATCAATCACATGCAGCGGATCCCGAATATATTTCCTCAACATCGAAATATGGAATACATTGTGAACTTGACTCAGTTCTGGTGGTAAAGCAAGTCTGTAGGCAGCTGTGTTAACCTTCTCAAGAATTTCAAACGGCCCGATGTAACGAGGTGTTAACTTACCTTTCCTTCCAAATCTAGAAACTCCTTTCATTGGCGAAACTTTAAGAAATACATGATCCCCAACTTCAAATTCCAACTCTCTTCTTCTCTGGTCGGCATAACTCTTCTGTCGACTCTGAGCAGTTTTGATCCTTTGACGAATGAGCTTAATCTTCTCGGTTGTAACTTGGACTAGCTCGGGACCAATCAGAGCCTTATCTCCTACTTCCGTCCAACATATCAGCGATCTGCACTTCTTTCCATACAAGGCTTCGTACGGCGCCATGCCAATGCTAGCTTGATAACTATTGTTGTAAGCGAATTCTACCAACGGTAGATGTTCTCCCCAGCTTCCCTTGAAATCTAACACACACAGTCT